TTTGTGGTCTGTGGGGCCGGCGGTGTTCTGAAAGCCCATCGATCGGGCGATGAAGCCAGGCGCCATTACCGCTGCAATTTTCAATCTTAATTTGTTCAGGTAATATCCATGGACAAAACCAGAAACTTTTTTGGATGGGATGAATACTTGGGAAAAAATATTTCATGAGTTGGAACAATCAAGATTAAAATGCTTACTTTATGATATAAAAAATTAGATTATCCTTCGATACAAATAAAAATTTAAATTTGAGGAAGAACAATTGTCCCCTCTGAATCCTCTGAGGGAACAAAATATTGTTTCTTGATGTTTGCACGTCAAGACGACGATTCAAAGAAGAAATATTTGCATACGGAATACGCATGCAGCTTTGCTTGCGTACTCTATTAACCCTCTAATGCCCCCATAATAACCTATGAATAATATCGAAATAGAACCCACGAAGGTTATTTGGGTTATATGTTATTGAAATTAATACCTCAATAACCTCCCAATAATCCCCTAATAACCACAAAGCGGAGGTTATTACGCACGCAGCTCTGCGTGCGTAGTATGTATTCAAATATTTCTTACCCCCCATTCATAGGGCAGCACATCACCCATAAATGAGATATATGATGGTGTGACACTCCGTGATTGGTCTTTCAGATGTGCATTATCCTAACACATTATTTTCTCATAAATGGGTCGAGCTCAAGTGAGTCAAAGATTGTTTTGTGTTTGACTCATTAAATTTTTTCTTTTCTTGTGTTCAGCTCGTTTATAAATGAAGCTAAAAAATATGTGTACATCTTGTTTTAAAGAATGAATACAACACAAACAACTTAGTGAGCTGAACAAAACTGCTCGCGAATAATGTTAATTTCTATCATATTAAAAATATCATTAATTTAACTTTTATATACTATTTATTTATTATTTAATTACTTGGAGCCAAACAAATTAAACATATTTGTGATTGAAAAAAAATTAGTTCATTTTCGGCTTAAATTGAGCTCAAGATATTTATTCGTGTTAAACTCATTTATAAATCAAACTCAAGAAATCTCTTCATATTCGACTCATTTTC